TTGATTTAAAAAATAATCATCACTTACTTACAATTTCTTTTTAAAACTGGGCGTCGAAGCAAGACTAAGAAACTCGAGCCGGCTAACGGAAATGTAATGATGTGATTAAATGACGAAACCAAAGGTCCCTATATAATCCCTCTCTACGCCACTACGCAACTGCTGTCTTATTGGTAGAAATGACTCAAGTGCCAAACAATGTGAATTGGAAGCATCCAGAAGCGGAAGAATTGATGCTTTATAATTTAGCGTTAATTTTCAAATGAAAGTTGAAATTTAACACAACAGAAATAAGATTTGTCAAAGTAAAAAAGATTTTAAAGATTTCGGCGATTAACATGCATTTATAAATCATTACAGCGCCTTCGAACGAAGCAATGAACCATAGGACAGGGAAGCGCGAAATTTGAATAACATAAAAAGGATAAACAATAAGTATTACGAATAAATGATATCAAATTTAAAACAATGTAATAATATACATGAAAACAAAATAACAGAAGATAGGAAAATGTGCGAAAGTGAAGATTATGAAGCAAGAAGTACATAGAAGTACATTCGTATTATTAGATTATTTTTATTAATTTATATAAAACAAAATTCGATTTTTGATCGTTGATTCAGATAATGAAATTAAACAATAACGCTGCTTGAAATTCATTATTTTTATCTATCGTAATCATAAATGTCATAAATGTCTCTTATCATGATTGCTTTATTATCGGCAGTAGGTAAATACCGCTGTCGATAAATAAGATCGAAAGATAACAGTACAGGCATAATTTTTCCAAATAAGCAATTATAATATCACACTTATTTTTCTATATGTATATATGTATATATGTATATAATAGAAAAACATTATTCAATAAAGAAAATAATACTGAAATTGTAGTCAGTACAATGTCGTAGGCTAATGGTGAAAAAAGAATAACGTAAAGCGACTCGTTTCTTTATACGAGATTATTATTACATTGCATCAGTCGATAGCTTTGTAATTACAACGATTCGATACATATTTCATCGTCTTTTAACGTTTAAACAGTAACATTCAGTTAAAACTTTGTATTGACTAGAGATATCGCAACGATCAGATATATCGATATATCAATCAACTCCTCACTTCGCAGTTCAATTCAGTATCAACAGAAATTGTCGCGCGCGAGCGTAACGAAATTTACATGCAATAATGTTCTGAAATCCGTTGTTATCTTTGGGAAACGTCATTTTAGTTCTTGAGTAAGTAAAAGTCTTTACAAAGAGTGGTCTCGAGATAAGTATGATTTAAAGTAGTAAATAAATACCTAAGAATAATACGGAAGATTCGAGACCAGTCCTCTCCGTTATTTTCGTTATAATTTTGATACGAGCAAAGATATAAAGTTTTTATCTTCCTTGGCAATTTCATAACGTTATTTCACACTTTTTTTCTCGATAAGATATCATATTTTACCGTGATATTGCGAAATCGGAAGGAACTGTAAATTCAAAGTCGTCGAGAGTTTTTTTTTTTTTTTTTTAAATAAATAAACCAAAATTCAGATGCGCGTCTCATTAGTTGTGAAGTTGTGCGCAAATGGAATAAATAAAATTTCTTAAATTTCTTTCTCCTGGCTTGAAACTTCAAAATTTTAAAAAACTCAAAAAATACCTTTTATCTCGAAACACTCTGTGTTTTAAACATTCGCACTACGAGAAGACATTATTTTTTGCGAAGAAACAAAAATTCTACGTGCTTATAGATAGACAATTTCGTTCTCTGGAAACACCTTACGCTTTACAGAAGAATAAAACTCAGATGAATTTCCAAGCGTACGGACAATTTTGTTAAATTTCACGACAACGTTGAACGTTCAATGTTAACAAGCGCAACGATACCTGACGAGGCGTACGCACATTGCGTAGGATATGTACTCGTTCGCCTTTTCTTTTTTTTTTTTCTTTTTCACACGTATGCATTTTCAACATTTTTTTTAGAATTCCGTGTGCGGCCGCTTGGCCAGCCAGCCGACGATAGCAGGTATCTCGTGAACCCTCTTCTTCAACGCTCGGAGACCCGGATAATTCTCTAAAGCCGTCGCTCCGAAAATATTCTCGAAATTTTCGAGGGCCACCGCGAACACGAAGTCCGCCCACGTCGTCTGAAAAACGGTTTGTGAACGTTACATCTTTCACTTTCTTCGCGTGAAATTTCCTCCCTTTTCTTCTAATTTATGTTATGAAAAATGCGAAGAATCCGGGAGAAGTTACCCGGAATTTTATTTCAAAAGGAATTTACTTGAAATTTACATCGAATTTCTTCATTCCATTGCCACAAATTTCTCATCTTATTGCGACAGAGTTTTCAATCAACAATCGAGGAGTTTATAACGAAAACTATCCTTGTGAATTATAAGTTAAAAATTAATTGAATTTATTGAGTCGATTAAATTGGTTGAATTGATTAATTAAATTGATTGAGTCGATCAAATTGATTGAATTAATTGATTAAAATAGATTGAATCGATTAATTAAATTGATTGAATCAGTTAATTAAATTGATTAACGAAATAGATTTTTCTTGTAATTTTGCAACTCCAGAATTTAACTAGAATGTCATTTTGTTCTTGTTTTCGTTATTATCTCTTCGATTGCGAGACGTGTCAATTATATATTGAATCAATTTGCGTATAGTGATTTAAGAGATAAAGTGGCCAAGTAAGAGGCTGTCTGGCAACGATACGAATATGGAAATGTCTGTAATTAAATGATACTTTAAGTACTATTATTCTTACGTCTACACTTGTTAATATTTATCAGTCGAGAAACAACAGATGGTAAATCATAAGATTCGGTTCTTAAAAGTCTTGATTTTCATTTCATTTTACCAACAACCTTTTATCAAAGTTCCGTAACGATGGAAAATGCAGGAATGATTATCAAAGAGCTCGCGATTTTAATACCTTTGTATATAATAGTATAAACCAGCAAGATGTCAATTAACTCTAAAGATGCACGCTATTCTCACGAATTACGTTTCTCTAAGAATTTTGCACCACCAACTTGACACAGATTCGCATCAGCTGCGTTCTAAAATTGTTGCGCGAGGAGTGAAAATTTTAATATTAAATTCAACGGGGGGAGGACTTACGGTGGAGCCGACGGTGTAGCCTCCATTTTCGCCAACCGTCTGCTCGAACTTGTTCAAGTAGAACGGTATTGTCTCCTTCAGAAGTTTCGCCTTTTTCTCTTCCTTCTTGAAAAGGTCCTCCTCCGTGCGATATTGGGATATAACTGGAACGCATATGAAGCCGATTGTTACATTTCCGTTTGTCTCCCCGTCGTCAAATAAAGCGGAAATAAGTCACGGAAAGGAAAAGCGTAACCACTCTCGTGGTTACTGAAATTCCTTCCTTTCCTCGATCTTCTGCCAGCTGCAACGTTACGTCTGCAAGTTTCTCTGATGGCCAACGACATTCGAAACACAAGGTTCCGTTTACCGTGAGAATTTCCTTGGAAACTTGGAGATGTCTTTCAGGACGAACGACGTTACTCTATCTGTGGTTCGCGGAAGGAAAGTCGAGTAAATCCTCGCTTTCATTTTCTGCTTATCGAAGTTCGCTGAAGAATATCAAGAATATCAAGATGTAGAAAGCCAATCACGGAGAGACTAGAAGGAGCAGAAATTAATACTTTCAACGACAAGTAATATCTTGAGTAATGTTTCGCTTGAGCTCGGTGATTCCTTGCTCGATGATTATGATCTCCATGCATCTGCAAGTTCCTCGCAGACCTCTTACGATTTTCTACGCAATCGCGTAATAAGGACTTCGAAAGAAAAAGAAAAAAAAAAGAATACAAGGATAAAAAAAAAGAAGAATAGAAGGAAAAGCTAGTTGATGATCGTTATGGTAATCGACGCGGTTTATGTCTGGTCATCAAAAACACGTTCATTATCGCGCGGAAAAATCTGCGATGCTCCAGCTGTTCAAGTGCATCGAATCGTGAATTATCGACGGAACGAAGTGAAGCGAGCAACGTAAAGTGGAAGGAGAAAAGGAAAAAAAAAATGAAACAGACGCGAAAATGAAGCAATACGATAATGTCTTGTTATAGACGAATCTATAAGTTTTTAATCGCGAATGAAATCGATATCGATGCGATTATTTTCCACGGACGATTCATGATTTTAAACAGAAGAGGTACGATCGTGCAGTCGGCAATCTATTTACTTCGTTCTTTTAAAAAAAAAAAATTTTTTTTTTTTTGTTCAGTAATAATTTCTCGATCTTCGATGTTACGTCAATGTTACGTCGGCGGCGTAAAAACTCGAGATAAGATACGCGCGAATAGTTGCACGAGTTTTCGAGCGACTCCATTCCCAGTTTTATGCGATCTACGTGCAGATCGTTAACGCAAACGATGTTGCGCAATCACGCATATCGTAATTGGAAATTAGCCACGTTATCACGTGGCAAGATTTTCCCGTGTGTTCGATAACTGAGTAACGCTTGTCCTCGCTCCTTCCGTGGATAGCCAGTGAGTTCATCATACACAGGGAGCGCTTTGCAAAGAATAAATAGTCGAGGGATGTCCGCAGAAACGTGATTCCATCGCGTTGCTGGTAATTACGGCGAAAGCAAAATTGCGACGTAAGATCACGATAATGGATCACCAATTGGATTAAATATATCGATTATGAAAATGATAGAAATGATTAATTGGAAGAGTAATCGGTAGAGATTCATTTGCAAAGTGAGAAGTGAATTACAGTAGAATATCCCCTTAACCGACAGACATGTCTCTTCTGCACTCGTCACTTTAAAGCTTCGTATTATTTTGATTATTTCTTAAAAAAAAATTCCAAATCTCGCAGAAATATGAATAATTACATGTGTAAAATGACAACAGGAAAATTTATATAGTTTCGTTGTAAGAGAATTCCAAAGA